AGCGGACAAACACAAAACGTGACCTCACGGGAAATGGAACCTCACTGTAAAGGTAACAAATTTGAAGATGACTATTTTGCAACACATCGAAAAGTTGTATCACCTCCGAGCTTCGGAAGAAGATTTCAACCACTCGTGAAAAAAACCGAAAATGCAGCCGCACCTAAGCGTAGACAAACAACGTGTCCTTTTTGCAACTCATACCAACATGCAGCCGTCCAGTGTGATAAATAATAAACAGCGCAAGAAAGGTTAAAAACGGCAAAACAAAAACAGCCTTGCTTTAATTTCCTTTCACCAAAACTTCGAACAAAAGACTGCACATCAACCAGTACTTACCAAAAGTGCTCTAGACGTCACCATACATCGATTTTTCGCAGAACTCATCACCTTCTCAAAGAGCAACCCTTCAATATCAAAATCTATCCTAGCCAGAAAACAAAACAAAGGAGTCGGCTCAAATACACTTTGCCGACAAAGTTCATCACATTGATGAGAAGAAACACCATGCCAAGTAAACAAAGAGGAGAACGATGTTGTTGCAGTCACCGAGGTTACATTATCAACAAAGAAACAAACGTTGTTCATGTGTGCAGATGTTAAGGTTTTCAATTTTGATGCACCAGCAGAAGAAGCAGCAATCGCATTTTTCGATAGTGGATCTAGCAAATAACAGTATGTAACAGTATAGTATATAACATCCGACCTAACAAACCAACTACACCTGCCACAGGGAGAAGTTGAAGAAATTTTGATGCACACGTTCGCCATAGGCACACCTTTCCCTTTACTCGCCACACTTTATACCTTTTGCGTCTGCACAATCAACGGGAAGAAACTTTTGTGTGTAAAGGCCGTCAGCACACTTACAAGCGAATTGAAAAATCATGCAAATCGGTTATGATACTTCTTCATTTGTTGTTGCTTCACAAACGATGATTACCACCTCGTACACTCTTCAGTAGAAAATATCATCACAGGAAAAGCAATAAGACAAGTTTCTTATATCTCCAGTGGAAACCTTAGAGAACCTCGTTGAAAAACTTTGGTCGCAAGATTTTAAAGACTCCACCGATGATGATCCGTACGACAAAGACGACAAGAAGTGCATGATGATGTTCAATGAATGCGTCTATTACGACACGTTGAAAGGAAGGATACATCGTACAGCTCCCATTCAAAAAAGACAAACCTCCACAATACAAAAATTTGAGACGCAATTGAAACAGTGGCTAGCTATCAGCGCGTATTGGTCTGTGGCTTCCTACAGAGGATCGGGCGGCCGATTCTGCTTTTCATCTCCTGTTAAGTTCTTCCCTCAAGCCTCTTTATTCATAGAACGTCCAAGATACACGC